GATTAGTGTGGGCAGTAGACCTAACCGCTGCATTTCTCCGGCGTAGTATGGATGTGGCCTTAACCTATTAACTATGTCGAATTCATTCGAAACAATTTGTTAATGTACACTACGTGCACCCACAATCATATAAAATCCGGTGGTCGTTTTGTTTTACTTGAATAAACATTTATTGCATAGACATGAGTGCTTTACCGGAAATACACCACTCAAATAATTTATACGTAACTACATCCGGGACCCTAATGGTTTATTTTCCATATCCTTACTAGTGACGATATTGATAACGTCATTTCCAGCATTTTTTTGTCACGGTCATTTGTGTGGCGGAGACAAGCGACAGCCGGAAATATGTCTGTGTTCGCACGCTACATTTGTGCAATCTGTTAATTTATCGATAATTTTAAAATAGAGAGAAAACTCAACCGTAGCTTGAAGATTTTTGTTTTGCACACTTGCTGCGCGAGTTCGTAAAAAATGTCTTAACCACTCCAAAAATAAAATTCGTATCTTCAAGCCACAGTCTAATATCCTCCATATATCTAGTAATTCTTGTTCCCTGTAATTTCATTTTTTTTTTTTCATTCAGAGGTTAACCTACAAGATGGCAACTTACACTTCAGACCTTACACGCCAACAAGTCGACAATACAATACAATCTGCATTGAGCATGTGGGCAAAGGTTTCTCCGCTGACCTTCTCAAAAGTGACCGACGGACCCGCTGACATTGAGATAATTTTTGAAAATAAGAAAGACAGAGGATATTCGTTCGATGGCAGAGGAGGAGAACTTGCCTATGCCTACTTCCCAGGAAGCAATGCAGGTAGGTTTGGGAAAAGAAATTCTATTTCTGTTTTATACATTGCTTCCAGGCTAATCGTACAAAGGCAAAGTCCGCATATGAGCCAAGTGGCCCATCAGACCGGAGGTTATCCCGGTTTCTGTAGCATGAAGCGACTAGGACAGGAGTAGGAATATTTCTACTGTACTCCCCCCATGGATGGGATGCTAGTCCATCGCAGGGTTACCCCCAGCATTAAATTCGCCGGTACCGTTATTGAACTTCGACGTATACGTTCAGTCATACTGAAACCGAGATTTTCTTGTTCGAGTTTTTATCATTGCGTACGCGCCGTCCCTAGGGACGGATTGATGAATCCATAAAACAAGAGTGGGCGCTAGTTCGCATTTCATACATGTCCAACTTTTTTTCCGACTCCAGGACGTT